ACAGTGTCATGCCCGGAATATCCAGAGTTACAAGAAAAACTGCATAGGTTAGCGATGGCACGCGACAGTTTATCATTACAGGTAAATCTAATACAAAAATTTTCATAACTGTTGTTATTGTTGTTACCGTTTGTGTTGTTGCCACCGCCGTCGCCAACATTGGAGTTGCATAAACAACAACAACAACTTTTGCGCTATACATTAATCTAATTAAAGCATATATTTCAAGAAATACTGAATAATTATTGTGTTGTAGTGGATTAGGACTTGCCAAAATAACCTGAGTTTTTTTTCAAGTGTATGAATTAAGAAGACTTTGGCTTATACGGACTTTTGTTGTCGCACATTACCGTTATAGAAGGCCGCAAACTATTGTCAAATAAAGTCAATTTTTGACGCTCTAATTTTTGCCATCTTCTTTCTTACGTCAGTTATTTCTATTTTGTTTCATTATTGAACACAACTGCTTTCTAATTTTTCGGAGTCTAAAACCTTGCTTGGAAGGCTACCATTTTGCTAATAACAAACGCCGTATTAGGAGTAAATGTTTGAGAGTTGAAAGGAATAGTAGTTTTCTTTTTGTTCAAAATTTCACGTTTATTTGAGGATTAAACTGTAGGGATATTTGGAAAGGTTGTTTGATAGACAGGATCTGTACTTATTCGGTTTTTTCGAAGCTGATCTGTGGAAAAATTAAGTTTTTGGCTGAATTTACAATAATCTTTTTAAAATGCCGTTTTTTCTCTAATTTTTTTTTGTCAGAAAAAAAGAAAAGCAAATTTACAAAAAAAACATGACGTCTAAAAAAAGGAACGGTGAAAGAAGGTTCAAAAATAAAACCAGTCTTTAGCCATTAATTGTCTGCATTTTTTTCTCATTTATTTTTTTTCATCACAATTAGCACAAAGCTGTCTGGAAGGTTCAGCGGCAGCAAAAGCGGTATTGTCGTCATCATCTGAGCTTCTAACTCTGGTTTTTAAAAAAATCTGTTGCAAATTTGACGTGCATGTTCTCGTTATGTGCATACGCATATGGTGGGTAATAGCTAGGCAGAAGTGATATTAGTTTTTGTTGGCGGTTTTGGTAGTTGTCAGTGGAAGGAAAGAAAGCAAGAAGGAAGAAGAAAAAAATTATGCTCCTTATTGCATCTTTTTCAATTTATTGTTCACTCAGATGAGGAGATAATTTTATTTATGTTTTTGCATGGAATTCCACTAAGAACTAAACGGATTGATTAGTGGGGCAGAAAATTAGAATTATGAGAGAGGTACATTTAGTGCGTATGTGAAACGTATGACTTAGAAAAAGAGTACTGATATACTTTTTGTTATCTTTTTTTTTTTTGATTATATTTTACTGGTATTATTTTATTTTTACTCTAGCAGCAAACAAGAAGGTGATGACCATGGGATCATTTTTTTTTTTT